TAACCCATTGGTAAGACTGCATTCTTACATAGATACACGCATGTAAGGCTGCAATGTACTCATGGGAGCTGCCAACTAAAGCATGATAAATATGTTGCTATAACAAGCAATAAAATGTTGGATTACTATAAACATCCTTTTTGTAGACTCAGAAGAATGAGACTATCAAGTTTAGAGATAGTAGCTATCCTCTGTCAACAGGGACATACTGCAACAACAGTTACTTCACTGCCAGCAAGAGTGATCTCAAGCCATTTCGTGACACTCGGATACCAATATATGTTAATTATCGTGATGGCTCCTCTGTAGCAAAGGATAGTCAATATATTTGTGGATTCTGTAAACACTAAGCTTTTAGTACTGTTTTGTTAATTTTTTCCTCCATAGCTGGCTATGTTGAAGCTGTCATGATTGGAGTGTCTATTGGTGTTGGATCTCTTGCTTTTGGTTGTTGCCTTGCAATTGCTTTGCACTTCTTAAAGGCACATGCAAAGAAGAGAGCAGTCTAGTGAGTGGACATTATTATAATAATTATTCTTCTTCTCTTATCTTAAAGCCGTCATGTTCGTCTTACTAATGCTGTCACTGATGATCCTGTTTAGTGAAGGCAGTTTAAACTCTTTTCCTTTTGATAATCATATTACACATCATTATTATTTTAATAATTTTTTATATTTTTGATCTGTAATCCTTTTTGCCTGCAAATTAGCTCAAGGTGTTAACAATGCGTGGGTGTTAGCTATAATGAGCTCAAAATAACTGCGTGGGTGGATGTGACCACTGGCTTTTTACCATAGATTTTATAACTATAAGAATAATATAACCTATGCTTGTTTTACATATATACAGACACATGAGGATAGACTAGTCTTGGAAGGCTAAGGATAGACATGAAGGCCTGTGCTCTTCGAGGTGCTCTTTTTCTTCTATTTGCAGCCACCACTCCTTATAGTATTACTTTAGGATCAATCCTGTTATGTAAGCAGCACTTTATTGTCTTGCTAGGTGATCCATTCTCTCTTTCTAGATGATGATTATTCTTGTACTGGGACTGCCTGCAGTTCTGATGGAGATACCATTACCTTTTCCATTGAACTAGTTATTGTCAATCCTGATAATAAGATGTACCTTTACACCATAGATACTGGTATTACCAGTGTTACATTTCTTAACCCATTGGTAAGTCAATGAGCATCATCATTATTATGTCTTGGGAAATGGAAATTCTGGGAAAGTTTTTTGCAGAGTGTACTTTGTAACTATTATAATAGACTCAGAGGAATGAAACGATTCAATTCAAAGACCACAGTTATCCTCTGTCAGCAGGAGTATACTGTAACAACAGCTACTTTACTGCTAGCAAGAATGATCTGAAGCCATTTGTAAAACCTTTTCATAGCACTCCAATACCAATATACATCAACTATGAAGACGGATCCTCTGTAGAGAAGGATGGTCAAGGCATTTGTGGATTTTGTAAATAGATTTTTGGTTAGTTTTTGTTATTTGTTGCTTAATTTTAGTTCTTGTTGATGCTGTCATAATTGGAGTGTCTGTTGTTGTTGGAGTTATTGGTTTATGTTGCTGCCTTGGAATTGCTTTGCAATTCTGGGCATGTATAAGGAAGAAAGCAAAGCAGTGAGTAGATGGATATTGTAATAATAATAATTAACGTCATTCTTCTCTTATTATTAAAGCCATCATGTTTGTTTTACTAATGCTGTCACTGATAACCCTGTCCTAATAAAGGCAGTTTAAACTCTCTTTAATAATAACTTTATTCTATTTTGTTGTATTTGGTTGGTAATTAGTCTCGCATAGCCAGACTACACCTGCCATCCCTTTTTTTACCTTTTAAAAAATTATTAATTTTGGCAGCTTAAACTCTCTCTTTGATTAACACACATTATTTAATGTATTTGATCTTTTATTTATAACAATACCATGTCAGCTTCAATTTATATTCTTCAACTCCAATCGAGAAATTAGCTTCACAAATCCTCTGGTAAATAATACTGTTATTTTGTTATATTGTTTTGTATTTTTTTTTATTCTTTAGACGTTGAAGAATGAAACCATTCAATATGATAAGAAAGAATCTTCAACTTATACAACATATACCAATAACAGTTTCTTCATGGCTAAATGTGGCCCATTAAAGTCAGCCCATATGAAGTACATACCTGTATATCAACAGACAGCTGAGAGAACTGATTTAGTAACAACTGTGGATTTTTGTTTGACAAGTACGACCAATTAAAATTAATTTTTAAATGTTATTTTTTTCTAATAGGTTTATCATACAGTAAGTTGATATAGTCTATTATTTTGTTGCATTATAGA